CTTGATATTGTTTTAATCTAAATTGCTCACTAATTAACAATAATTCTCGAAACACTATTTAAATAATTGTAAAATAGGTACTAGGAAATACGACATTAAACTTATTGACTCATATGACAATTTGACAATAATAAATGTCATTAGTTGTAATCAGTGGCGCACCCAGAAAATATGTTTGGGGGGGGGGCCTATACATAGGTTGTGGCTTGTGACTGAAAATTGAGCTGTCAGGGTGCCACGCCCAAAATTTGCAACATTTTTTGATACGTAAAAATACAGTTTTGGAGGGGGCGGCCTGGGAGGGGGCCCTAGCCCGATGGTTCCCCCCTGGATGCTTCACTGTCCAGGAAATCTGGGACACTTTAGAAAACAAAGATTGTTTTTGAAATATCCAGAAGCTTTTAAGCTTTAACGTACTAAAATTTTATTGAAAACAAACTAAAGATAGCGGAGTTACGAATTTCTTAATGCCAGAGAGACTGTGATATTTTTACAATACAGACTATGACCTGATTTTAGATTTTTTCTTAGAAATCTAGGATACTTTGGAGAATGAAGAATTTTTTTATATATCCAGAAGCTTTTTAGCTTTAACATACTGAAATTTGATTGGAAAAAAACCAAAGATAGCGGAATCACGATTTTTTTAATCCCAAGGAGACACTAAATGATATTTCTACAATACTGATTATGACCTGATTTTTGATTTTTTTCCAGGAAATCTAGGAAACATTGGAAAATGAAGAATTTTTCATGTATCCAGGAGCCTTTTAGCTTTAACATAATAAAATTTGATTAGAAGAAAAACAAAGATAGCGGAGTTACGATTTTATTAATTCCAGAGAGACACTAAGTGATATTTTTACAATACAGACTAAGGCCTGATTTAAGATATTTTTCCTGGAAATCTGGGATACCTAATTTAGAGAATTTTTTATATTTTCAGAAGCCTTTTAGCTTTAACATACTTGAAATAGATTGGGAAAAAACCCAAGATAGCGGAGTTACGATTTTTTAATCTCAATGAGATATTAAATAATATTTTTACAAAACAGACTATGTCCTATGATTTTAGATTTTTTTCCTGGAAATCTAAGATACTTTGGAGATATTAGATTATATATCCAGACGCCTTTAAGTTCAAAAATACCCAAATTTGATTGGAAAACAATCAAAGATAGTGGAGTTACAATTTTTTTAATCCAAAAGAAAGACTGAATGATATTTTTGCCTTACAGTCTATGGCCTGATTTTTGTTTTTGTTTCCTAGAAATCTGGGACACTTTGGAAAATGAAGAATTTTTTTATATATCCAGAAGCCTTTGACCTTTAACATACCAAAATTTGATTGGAAAAAAACCAAAGATAACGGAGCTACGATTTTTTAATCAGTAAGAGACACTAAGTGATATTTTGACAATACAGATTATGGCCTGATTTTTGATATTTTTCCAGGAACAGTGGTGTACCCAGAAAATATGTTTGGGGAGGGGGCCCTACATAAGTTGTGGCTTGTGACTGAAAATCTAAAAAAAAAATTGAGGAGTCAGGGTACCACGCCCTGAAATTGCCACATTTTTTTATACCTACGTGAAAATAAAGTTTTGCAGGGGCGGCCTGGGGGGGGCTTGGCCCGATGGCCCCCCCCCCCCTGGGTGCGCCACTGGTTGTAATTCATATTTTTCCAGTCCTCCTCTGAATTTTTATGCTCCGCCTGTTTGTTTACCTCTACTATCTCGTTTCGTGGAATGAAGTTTAGCTACACCTCCTGTCACAGAGAGGTTGTGACAGTATGTCATGTATTGTATGCCATATTTTTCTTTAATTTTGTCAATGAGCTTTAATGTCAATATATCATGTCAAAAATCCTGACCAATAAAGAAAACATAGTGCGAAGTACGTTTTCGTATTCAAAGCAATCTTTGATTGGTTTTTTTTGGAAGGCCCGTTACTCCTGACTACTACCTACGCGCAATTAAAATTAGTTACCCACTTTCAAATTTTGTAAAAAAATTCCATCTTCTTGGGTAGGTAAATCTTCCCTGAATTTAAATTTGATAAGGAACCAATTTTTAAATGGTTCAGCTTCAGAAATTATGGAAATCTGCAATGTTTCTTATGTTTCGACAAATCATCAATCAATCAATGATCAAGTAATATTTGATTATTTGCCAAACTCCGTAGGTATTATTATATGATAATAATTAATATCATATAGGTAGATAATTTCAAACAAATAAACATAGACCAATTTTGAATAATGGATAAAGCACCTTTAATCTTTATTACATTGTTGCACCTTTTAACTTCCTCAAAACTTTCCATAACATCTACCCATTGTTAGAATTTCCTACCTGCTTCAGATAAATAGAGAGAATGAAAGGTAAATGCTAAATAATAAATGCCAACCACACCACCAAAACGGACCAATCAACGCACAGACGTTTGTAGTTTATCGTTTATCCATCTTCGTCCTTCTAGCTCTCTAGCTTCGCAGGAGGTCACTAGGAACTAAACGTTGCCAAGCTTGGCTATTTATAGGATTTGTCAATAAACTCTATGAGTGCATTGAAAATGAATGTATTTTACCGTTTCTCGTTTTAAATTTTCCATTGATAATGTGATTTTAATTGTTTGATTTACGCCAGGCCAAAACATTGATCAGTTCATTGCGTTTTCAGTATCTACCTAATAGGTACTTTGCTACTACACGTTATCTTAGGCATTTAATATAGGGTATCTTGTCTATACTACTAATTAGGCAATCCAACGACCTGTCCAAATGGCGTCTGGTTGGCAAACAATAAACAAAAAACATATGTTTTTTTTTGGCAGTATTAAGCCTTGTACTCATAACAGCGAAATTCGCTCTTTTTTGACATTGCTTCGACAATTTGACTTTTGATTCACGCATAAAACGTCAAATTGTCGACGCAATGTCAAAAAAGAACGAATTTCGCGGTTATGAGTACTAGGCTTTATCAATACACGGGACGAGTACTCAAATCTGACAATTTTCTGACATCGTTGACATGCAACAACTCGTATTCTAACCTCATAATAATTTCAAAATGCCGGCTGGTTGGCAAAAGTCACGTGGTTTGGATTCCCTAATTGTTTAGGTACCTACATCCAATGTGAATATATTTTCAATATGTCTTTCTGGAAAAAGAGATATTGTATAATTATACTGCTTACTTGTGGAAATGACGGAAAATTTTGATTATTTTTTACACCAAAGAGGTACTCGTAAATTCCTTAAGTCCGCAACATGAAAGATACAGGACCGAAAGGATGATGCGACAGCACCGCCCTGTACGTGAACAAACACAACTCCGAATTATTTGTTGTCTTTTGTCTAGTCAATATGCTATTTAGTATTCCTCGATCGGTTTAAGTATAAGTTTCCTTTCTTTGTGGCATTAGCTTCCTCTACCCCTTCAGACGTCGTCCTTTATCTAATGTAGCGGTCTTCAGTTCTTATCTTTAAAATAAACCGTGTTCGAGAAAATTTCCACATTATGTTATGATTTTCGGTAGGAAAGTATTTTCCAGCCAAAGTTCACAGAAACTTTTCCACACGTATTTCAGCTACCTACCATAAGGATCATGATACAAAAATAAAAAAAAAACTCAGATTAGTGACATTTAGATGCCCCATTTTCGCATACAAGTCTCGAAGAGGTTTGAAAAGTATTTCCTATTTCGATGTTGAGTAGAATGAAGGGACATTTTCGAGTGGCTCCTTGTGATAACATCATAATAAATAATAAGTACCTATAGAAAATTCGATTTTCCTTAACAAAAATAAAAGGTGTCTGGTGCCCACATTTTCACGCAAGCCGTGTTCAAGAAAGTGGCTTCAGAAAAGCACCAAAGGCTTGAGTTTTGAAATATGGGCGTAAACTTGTAAGGAAAAATCGAGATTTCAAGCGATTATTCTACACAAACCCATCGAAAGGATGAATGTTTCGCTGCTAGCTGGAAAAACAAATTAACTTGGATTTTCGCGAATGGATAAGTACATTCCTTGGATTCCTCAGAAATTCGAATTTCCAATATGTTCTCCCCAGGAGCCATTCGTAAATTTCGCTTTATTCTACTCAACAGTCAACGATCAACATTCATGTACTTTTCAACCCTGTCCGATGCTTGTATGCGAAAACGGGGCACCTATAAATCTGTCATCTGACGGGCTAATATTACTTCAAAATTTCAAACAAATTGCTATACACATGGGCTTTTTAGAAAATTGTATATAAAAATATGTAGGTATGATGTAGGTAATTTATTCTCTTTTCTTTGTATAGTTTTTAGGGGTTGTTTTTATTTATTATGTTTTCATTTTACATCTTCTTTTTTTTTATGCCGATTAGTTGCTATAATTTATTTATTCATATTTTTCACGCGATAACAATCTGTTTGAGAAATTTATATATTTATGATTTTTTTTTTCCTTTTAATAAGGCTTTGGTTATTTATACTGCATTTCAATAACAAAAGTAGGTGTGTGTGTGTAGTAAGTTAGCCTTTATGCCTTTCCCCACAATTTTACTTTGCGCACGTAAATAAGTGCGGGAAAACGGTTATTAGGTATTTTAAATTTTTATCTGTTTTGAATTGGAATAAAATTGTACATGCCTATTTGAAAGTTTTCGATTCTATGCACCTCATTAACGCTAGTAGAAAAAATATTATCGTTCCCAACACGTGCGCAAAGTGTCTCCCGCACTACCTCTCCTAAAGTTTATCCGAACTCCGCTTGTCTAGCTGCTTTTTCGTGCCATAAAGTATCACTTTGCAGTACTTTGCACACTTTTCAAGAAAATATCTATAAAATCTAATTAAATAACACTTCAATGCAAAACTAAAAATAAACGTGACATCATTGCAAAGCGATAACAAAGCAAACCATCTGTTTTCGGCTACGTCAGCGGGCCACTCTGACCCTACTTCGCACTAAACTAAAAATTAATTGTCTCTGTCACTCTTTGCTATTTTATTTTTGTCAGTATAGATTCGAACGTTATAGATTAAAGTCACCGTATATTTCCAAGCTCCCAATTAATTATTATCGCATAGGAAAATTTAAAATGAATTTATCGTTTGCGGGTTGCGGTTTTTTGGGCATTTATCACGTAGGGGTTGCCTGTTGTTTTCGTAAATATGCCCCTCACATGTTGCTAAATAAAATATCGGGAGCTTCCGCGGGTGCTATAGCTGCTTGTTGTTTGTTGTTGGATTTGCCATTAGGTAAGAGTGATTTTTCATATTAAATTTGTGTCATCGAGACTGTGTTTGATACATTGATACCATTGATAATAAAAAAAAGTTTCTCAATGATAAGTTGTCGGTAAACTAAAGTTTTACCTGTAAACTTTGGTTTTGATGATTTTACCGTTGATTGGTTTTACGCTCCCTATTTTTGACCTCGGAAACTACCAATAGTTTTTGCACTAGTGGTGCGTTAATTATTTCTATTCTTATTAGCTGATTGGTACTTGAACAATTTATATAGGTATGGGCTCGGCTATAGATATCTACTTAACAGTTACCCTAATTGATGTAATGCAAACTAGCAGTTTTTTTAAATTGAAAAAATTATTTGAATTACTGTTTCCCTTCCTGCTATACTTACCATTATTGTTTATAAAAAATACCTAATTTGATTGGCTTCTCAACAATGTAGGCTGTAGTTTTACCAATGGTTTTACAAAATACGTGTATACTATTTTCGCAAACTCAGAAGAGGAATGTTTTTAATTTAATTAAATGTTTGAATGGCTGCTGTCTAGTCTATACATATATTGTATAATTGATGCCATTTATTAATAAAACATAATTTGCTGGGACCTGGGCTATTTTTTTTTTGTTCTAGTGTGCTCGAGAGTGCATTCATTTTTTCTCTACCTACTCACTTAATACTCACTAGTACATTCAAAAATAGAATGTATGCAAAAGCCAAAAAAGTGTGTAAAGTGAACCTTCTTCCACGAACATGAATCAAGCTAGTGCGACAATCACATGAGTGAAAAAAGGTGCTTTACACACCTGTTGCATACAAATTTTTTTAGCGACTAACCGTTTGTAACCTGTTATAAACATTAACTGAACTGAAAGTGTATCATATTTTCAGTTATCGTTTATTACACATACACAGTTACAAATGGTTAGTCGCTAAAAAATCTTTTTATATTCGAAAATTAACCTCCTTTGTCATTGAATAGCTATTTACATAACAAGTACATAAAGTAAGGCTTTATTGTACGAAGTACGAATGATTTTATGATTTTATGGCCGAGCGAGCTTGCGAGCGAGGCTATTGAATAATGAGTCAATAAAGCCTGTTTAAGTGAGGCGTTATAAGCATGATTTTATGTACGATTGCGACTGGTTTTTATTGAAAACTAATAGAATTGAATGAAAAAATGAAAATTCAACACTTACCTGTCTCACTTTTGCAGATCAAACTTGATTTTGCCTCACAACTTTGTTAATTTCAATACGATTTCACCGTAATTAAGCTCGAATTAAAGCCAATTAAATCCTCTACAAATCCTTAGTAAATAATTTCAAGGTAGCTCAATTAGTTTTTAGCTGTGCAGCTTTAAAGTATTTTTCCTACAGCCGTGCGGAAAAATCGATTTTAAATCGATTTTCCGCACTGATATGCGTGCGGAAAATGAGTTTTTCCGCACAGTGCGGTAAAACTTTTTTGTTGACATATCAGTGCGGAAAAAGTTTTTCCGCACGGCTGTCAGTGCGGAAAAAATTTTACCGCACTAGTATGTCAAAAAAAAAAAAAAAAAAATTTTACATTTTTTCGCCTGTAGGAAAAATATTGTACCTAACACTTGCGGAAAAATTCATTTTCCGCACTTGTTAGGTAAATAGCTATTAACTTTGATTTTTACCAAGCTGAACGATCAGGAGCAACTTTTGATTTTTTTTCCTAAATTTAAATCTTTTCTTTATCCACTTGCAAAATTTTAATCCAATCCTTCAAACAATTTCTTCGAAAAAAAATAACACTAGAAATTTAGATCAACTCTCTTTGCCTAAGGTACCTGACCAAAATAAGGCCATGTACCTAATAAGGCCAGTGCCCTTTATTGCTTAATATTGAATCCCATTTTCAAAAATTACAATATTAGCGAAAAAGAAATCTATAATGCAAATTAAAAATTATTGCAAGGGTTCCTAGCAACTCGTCATATGTCGAAAAACGAACAAGCACATATTTCATATGTCACGTTATAAGTTTGAGGCTGGAACTCAATTAGCTTATATACGTGTTTATAAAGTGAATGGAGTGATTGTAATTTTTTAACGGACATTTATGTATTGGGAGAGCTACAGAGTAAGTACAGAATAATATCTCTGCTAGATTTCTAGTTACAGACATTTTTTTATCAATTTAACATGTTCCTAATAAGGCCATCATACGAAATATGTTCAATTGGCCTCACATCACAGTGTTTTTTTTTAAAGAATGTGTCATATTATTAACCGAGTGATGTTTTTTGGAATGCCGGGAGTCTAACCAAGCAATAGATGCTGCGGTTCATTTGTCCTAGTTGTATGTAGAGCTATTTGGATCACCATCCCAGGACTTGAAATTATTGTTTTGTTAGGAATGCAGCAAACGTATAAGTTCTATTTTGTGTACTATTTGTCAAATAATGATATTTCTATAAATAATTGTATTTTTTTTAAACATTTTTTAATGGTGGCCTTATTAGGAGCATAATGATCCAAATAAGGCCAATGGTAAGCGTTTTTGTTTTACTCAAAAGCCACCACTTATGTAAAAATAAATAAATTGGAATTAATATTTAAGTAATAGAAGCGAAACACTTCACATATAAGCCTGTGATTTTTGTTGGGTTTGGTGGATAACGTTAAGAAAAAATAAAACTTCTTAACGTGGTCTTATTTGGGACAGGTACCTTATACCTGTATCATCCCAAGTAAAAAACTCGATTGTATACAGGGGAAAAAACCATACCATACCATTTTTACCATTTGTTAATTTCAATCCGATCTCAACGTAATTGGGCTTAAAATAAGGGCAATTAAATCCTTTACAAATCCCTACCGAGTATTTTCAATGCAGCTTGAATAGTTTTCAGTCAAGTTTTTAGCCACCAGCTAAAGCACCCCCCGAATTTTTGCAAACAATTCTTCAAACTTCCCGCAAATTTTTCCAAAGTCCCCAAAAAATCCAGCAAATTTCCTGCAAACTTCTCTAAACTGTTAGCAAATTCCCTGCAGATGTCTGTTAGAACCTGAAAATTCCAAAAATTGTTTGTGATAAGAAATGTATTTTTCTATTCTCATGACGCTTAATGTTAAAACCATGTACATTCCTCCAATTTCCCATAAATTCACTCAAATTCCCCACAAATTCCTCCGAATTCCGCACAAACTCCTCTAAATTCCCCACTGTTTTGGCAAAGAATTCCTAGGTGATTTGCCCCTTGGGTCTATACTTAGGTACTTTTTATTATCTATGTTGAGTGGGAAACATACAGAAAGTAATGATAACTCGAATGATAAATAAGGTGGGAACTGTGTTTTTACGCAATTATCAATGATCACGAAAATGTGTTTTTTCTTTTGCACTAAGTAGTGTTGCGAAGTTTTCACAATATTCATGAAAACGTGCAATAAAATAGTATTTTTGATAGGAAAGTTTTGGGGTAGTTTTGATTTTCTCCATTCCGTATGTTTGTCCGGGTGCTGAATCCGAATCTGAGGTTTGCTAACAAAATTTTGTGAGGCAACATTGAAACAAGTACAAAAAAGGGTAGTTTTGGCATTCTTTTGCTTAGAACTCGAGAGCCATCAATTTTTCGGAAAAAACACCTCTATTCAAAATGTTCATAAAATTTCCCTTAAATTTCATGCTCTAAATGTTTTTCTCCAACGAGCCGTTCATGCTTATCGTTAGTTGAAAAATGGTGTGTTTTATCTATAAATCTAAATTGACAAAAACCCACTGTTTATCTGCAAAACTCTAATTTATTATCAAATAATATTATCTTCATCACTCTATCATTAAATTATCTTATTTGAGCGGTTTTCTCTTAGAAGGTCCTTGCTGAGGCTCCTCGATGTCGAAAGGTCCTGGCAGAGGATCGGGTTCTTCCATAAACATTGTAGATTGAGAGAAATTGTGAAAAACAGGCTTATGATTTTACGATATGACAAACCTACCACATCGTGTGAGCGTTCTTCTTCTGGCAGTTCTTGGTACCTTCCTTCAGCCACTTTCTTTGTCTATCTCAATGATGTCATCCTCCTGGGACTTGGCGTTTTCACTCAACTCGTTGCATGTTATGGATATTGGAGAGCAATTTAACTGACAGCTTTTCTTGCATTTACAAGATATGCGCTGAAGTATTGAGTCTGGTGCTGGGTTTGGAACGGGCACAAGACCACTGTTTTTTCTACCCTCACTTATTCGGGTCTCTTTGTTGTTCATTGAATATAGTTTGTCCAGATAACCACTGGTGCACCTGAAAGTTAGCTCTCTGTGAATGTTCTTGTGCAGCAGCTTCAGTGGGGGGCAGTGCGGCAATGTTAGGTTTGCTTTTAAAGGATGATGATATGTAATGCCTGTAACTCAAATCATTCAAACTAGTCTCTCGGCCTTTCCCATACAAAGGCATGAGAAACAATAGAAACATGTCGCCTGCTCGAGCAATCTTGTGAGTTTAAGGGTCTTTGAAAGCCTCAATAACTGGTACCAAGTCATTGTTTTAGCCCCAGAAATTTCCATTTCCTCTGATTAAACAGAGCAAAAGTGGTGCCACAACCGTCCACTCATCAAGTTAAGGAACAATATATGATCTGGTAGGGCTTTGTCTGATAGGTGAGGCATAGATGATGTGAGACACCTGTCCTTTCTACGATTTCATAAAAGATAATTTTTTTATAGCACATCTCTTCACTTCTTACTTGACACAATAAACTAATTCGAACTTTTTTCTCGCGCTGTTGGTATTTTCTCTAAATCATTATCCAGTATTTCATCACAAATAAAACACACGATCCAGGGAATTTTTAACAGTACAGTACGCGTAAACAGCATTGTGTTTAGTAATTTAAAACTGTAGGAATTTACTAAAATGAGCTTTTAATCCTAAATTAGAGTTTTGGAGCGTAAAAGGTGAGTTTTTGGCGCACAAGCCCAAACGGTTTGTCCAACGAAAAAAATGTAATTCATAGAAAATTGTATGTAATTGTAT